GGTCACAGTGACCAACCAGAATGCCTATGGGAAACCCCCAAGCAGGCAAGGGCCCTTTCCCCTCCTGCAGAAACTGGTATTCAGAAACACCCTGCGTCTGACTGGATAAAGAGAACATCAGTCATAGAGGAATCTGCATAGTGCAAAATTGCACAGGGCCCAAAATGGCCGCTATGTTCTCGCAAGAAAAAAATCACAGAATCCCGGTTTCTCCAGGATACTTGCAGGTATGTTAACCACGAGCTATAGCCAAGAACAAACCTTGGTTTGGCTTCTTCTTCTTCTTTTTATTATTATTATTACTGATTTATTAATCACCTTATAAATCACCATCTCAATGTGATTTAAAAACAGCTAAAAACAGAACAACAAACACATTTAAAACAAGACTAAAACCCAAACAGGTCGACCCATTCACCCAGCAGGCAAAGGTTGTTTGAACAGAAATGTCTTCAGTTGATTCTGCAAAGTGCAGATAGTGGATGCCGAGTGTTTCCTCAATGGGAATGCTATTCGACAGAACATGGGTGTCAGGGAACTGACATCGGAGCCAGAGGTGGAGGGAAGGCTCTCTAATGATGCTGGAGAAGGGCCCAGCAGGGAGAGGGGCAGCTCAGCAGATGGGGAAGCAATTCAGTGCAACACCAGGAATAAGGAGGGGCAGATGGGGGAATCGGAGAGAGGGCTCCCAGACTCTTCACCGGACAGCAGCGGGGAGAGCACTGGTCCTCCGCTACCCACGCCCTCCCTGCGCAGAAGACTTCCGCGCAGAGAAAGTAGGAGGAGACTGGGTGTCAAACAACTTTTATGTTGGAAAAGGTTTAAGAAACGCACACTGACGGATTCTGCTAGCGACTGAGGCAGCCACGAATTGAAGGGCTGTCCAGACAGAAAGGTTTAACAAGGCAACATAGCCAGGAGAGGCGGCAACTTACGCACGAGCAACCCCATACCATTATAATGGGTAACCACAGTTATTGTGTCATGTGAACCGGGTCAACGTAGATCCAAATTTTACCAGGTTTCTCTAACAACATGACGCCCCAAATAAAATTACCGGCAGTGATGTGAGCTGTACATTTTTTCCACCAGTATTCCCCCCCCCATACAAATGTTTCCACTTTTAGAAAAGTATTTGTCATAAAATTAATTAGTAACATAATGAACAGATGCAAGTCAAATTGGGCAAATAGGCTAGATACAAATCTGAAATCAAAGTTATAATTCACTACTGTATTTTCAGATGAAATAGCCCCTGGGAGGCTCATATATTTATGCACACAGCTCGGCAGGCCTGCTATAATTAATGTTAAGGATTTCCAGTGTTCTCCCTTGAGATCTAAATAATGCAAGATAAGCACGTGCTATCGAGTTGTGATGTCATGTTTACGAGAATCCCAATAATCCCCACTATACGTCTCTCTGAACACAACATATAAACCACACAAAATGTGCTTCGCTGAATTTTCAACCCCAAAGCAAATATTTCTGTTCAGCTGCTTTTGGCTATTAGATTAATTTTTTTCAGATATTTATACAGCAGATGTGCTCATTTTTAGTTGTGTTTACGAACAAGCTAAATCGGAACTCTGGGGAGCAGAGCGTTTTTCCAATTCTAAGGGTTGTAGCCAATGCTAGTTTTACTAAAAGTAGACCCATTGGAATTAATGACTATGAGTAACGTGTAATTTCCATAGGCCTACTTTGAGTAGACCTTGCTTGGAAACGACCCCCCATTTTCCATAAATTTCTAGTCACAGGCTGGCCTGAGCACATTTCATTGGAAGGTGGGAGCATGTCTGATATTGAAGCTCCTTGTGGGTTCAGGGTATTGAAGTACTCCTTTGTAACAGCTAAGGAACAACCATAAGATGGGCCATTGATGGACCATCAAAGTACATAGCCAGAACAAAAGAAATAAAATGAGGCCAATAGCTTTGGATCACAGACTTGGTCCCATATATCATCTATCCAGACACATCCAACATCTCTCCAACATCTTGGGCAGCAAAAGGTCTTGCTCAACTCTGCTGCCAGAGAGTTTTTAATTCATGCACAGGTAAACTCGGCCCTCCAGATGTTTTGGGACTACAACTCCCATCATCGCTAGTTAACAGGACCAGTGGTCAGAGATGATGGGAATTGTAGTCTCAAAACATCTAGAGGGCCGAGTTTGCCTATGCCTGCTTTAATCCATCCAGGCTTCCCAACCTGGTGCCCTCTAGGTGTCATTGGACTATACTTCCCATCAGCCCCAGCCAGCAAAGCCAATGGTGAAGGATGATGGGAATTATAGTCCAACTGTAACAACCGTAATGTGGTGGTTAAGAGTGTTGGACTAGGACCGCAGAGAGCGAATTTGAAATCTCCAACTCAGACAGTCACTGCCTCTCAGCCTAACCTACCTCATAGGGTTGCTATGAGAAAAGAATTGGGAAGAGGGGAGAAGCATGTACGCCAACTTGGGAGGACGATTTGGATATAAATGTAATTGTAAACAAACAAACATCTGGAAGGCACCAGGTTAGGAGAGGAGTATAGCCTACTATGATTCATAATAAGTTGGGACTCTGCACTCAGGTCTGCAATCTAAAGGACGCAACACAAAAGGAAAAAGAGACTGGGAGGGAAGAGGAAACTCAAACACTGTATCTTACAAAGTGATTAGAAATGTACTTCTGGTTGCAGGGCAGTAGAAAGAAAATGCCTGAAGCTGCTTCTTCTATAGCCAACTGATGGAGCCACTACCCTTTGCTATTTGGAGAAGAAGGGGAGCAGTAACTCTTGGTCTCCCAGCTGCTGTAATTTACCTACCCACCCCAGTTAAGGTGCACAGTACCGAAGGCCAGTCAGGTAATGTTGGCACATGAGCCAAAGAATCCCAGAAGCTCTCCTCCACTAGGAGCAAATTTAAACAATTTGCTGCACTACCCTGACTACACAAACGGCTGCCTCACTTTACCAGATGCTAGGGCCAGACCTGGTTGCATATGCCAGAAGTATAGTCTACTACTCTCTCTACTACAGAGAGAGAAAAGTAGTATTCCTCCAAATGCTGGGGTAAAGGTAAAGGTAAAGGGACCCCTGACCGTAAGGTCCAGTTGTGGACAACTCTGGTTTGCGGCGCTCAATTCACTTTACTTGCCGAGGGAGCCGGCGTACAGCTTCCGGGTCATATGGCCAGCATGACTAAGCCGCTTCTGGCGAACCAGAGCAGCGCACAGAAATGCCATTTAACTTCCCGCCGGAGCGGTACCTATTTATCTACTTGCACTTCGTGCTTTCAAACTGCTAGGTTGGCAGGAGCAGGGACCGAGCAATGGAAGCTCACCCCGTTGCGGGGATTCGAACCGCCGACCTTCTGATCGGCAAGCCCTAGGCTCTGTGGTTTAACCCACAGTGCCACCCGCGTCCCAGTGCTGGGGTAGGTGATGGCTATTCATGAGTTTCCAAGCTGGCATCTAGATAGTCCTAAATGAGAGGAACAATATTGATTATTAACACACAGCAAAAAGCTCCTGTTTTGCAGCCATTCTCTCTCACCTGCTGCCATTTCAGCTTAACTTGTCTAGAGAGCAGATACTATTTGTGGAAACCACTCACAAACCTGCATTCCAGGGCCCTGGAATGGCAGCGTCTCAGAGTCTGGGGCTGTTATCTAACAGCAGAAGCAGCAGCAGCAGCAGCACACACACACACACAAAACCAGGAAAGTGACTGCAATGAAATTGTGAGGCTGAAAGTGCTACAGATTAAAAGCAGATTGCTTAAGGAAGTTGGCTCAGGGACAGAGCAAAGGTGGGAGGGCGGCAAAGTGCTGAATTCATGTTTTATTCACAGCTAAGAAACGTCAAATGCATTTAGAGTCAGAGAAGAGGAAACTGAACTTGAGCACAGAGCTATAAAGCAAGTGATGTAGGATAACGATCGGCAGATTCATTCAAGGCCTTTGGTACTGCAGATTTTGCAACAACGCAATGCAAATTGTGTGGCCTGAAAAAATTATACAGGCTATTTGCATTAAATTAAAGGCTATTTCCTACTTTTTAAACAGACTCTCGCCTGTACTCTGGGGTTTAATCACAACTCAAAAATTTGCCTTTAACCTCAAAAGCCAAGGATGAAATTCAGATTGCAAGTCTAAGGGAAGGGTTGTGCCTTATTGTCTTCACAGTTACCCTGTGGAATGGGTTAGGCTGTGAGGCCGTGACTGTCCCAAGGCAATGCAATGGGTTTCATGGCTGAGTGGAAGATTTGAACCCTGGTCTCCCAGGTCCTAGTCTGACATTCTAACCACACCACCACACTGGCCAATAAAATAACAATGGCTTTGCTTCCACTAGTCAGGTTGGCAGGGATAAAAGCAGGGGACCCTGGTTGCTATAAATCTTAATAAACTACAGCAGCTTCAGAAGTGTCATACATTGTTGGCACACACTTGCGATATTAAAAGCTATAAATTTCACGTTTAATGTATTTTATCCATATGATTGCGCTCCTGTATCACATTTCCTTCCATATGAGCCCAGGTCTGTCCACAGCACAATAAAATATCACTCTCAAAATGCAATTTAAAACTGTGTGTCAAAAAACCCCCACCAATGTTACAGCACAGCAGACAGGAATACTAAACTGTTGGGCTCCAGTTTGCATTTATGTTCCAAAAAGCCAGACGCACCCCCCCCCAAAAAAAAATAATCTTCAATTGATGCTTGAAGAGAGACAAGATGGGGAATAAGTGTCACCAATATCAGGGTCAAATGCCACACAGCAGGTGTGAGGAACCCTTAGCCCTGGTGGACTGGCAAACTACAGTTCCCATCAAGCATGGCCAATAGTCAGGAAAGATGGGAGTTGTAGTTCAGCAACATCCAAAAGGCAACAGGTTCCCCAAACCTGCCATATAGGAACATAGGAAACTGCTTTATAGTAAGTGAGAATCCATCCAACTCAAAATAACTCAGAATTTTCCACTGACTGAGGCCTCTCTTTTTGCTACCTGGAGATGGCTGGGATTGAACCCAGGGTCATGTGCACACAAAGCAGCTGCTCTACCACTGAGCTACAGCCCTTCCCCTCTCTGCAGCCTCTCTGTACTTCTGCAGAATCCCAGCATACACCTAGGTGGATATCGCCCTGTCAACATTTCTGAAATGAAGAGGAAACAGAGCATGCTTAATCCATAGCAGCAGAGCCCTGCACTTGGTGATGAAGAGAGACGTATTTACTGCCTCTCTGACCTTGCAGGCCATGCGGTACAAAGATGCAAAGTCCAGCCCATTCCAGCACTTGAAGATCTCCACGCTCCCAGATGGGGCACTGTGCAGAGGTGGGAGTGACGCAAGCACCTCTCTAGCAGCAACCAGCCACCAGATACCCAAAAGCTGAGTCCCCAATGCTCTCTTGGTAGCATTGCCACATTCATGCAAACCACAACTAGGTTCTTGAATTATAAGGAGAGACCTCTTTTTGGATTCACTCCTGCGGAAAATGACGAGAGACCCATGGATTTTATCTATCAATGGCCTCACTTATCGTCGTACAAGGAACCTGTGAGGCCAAGTATCTAGCGAATATAATGGCTGACGACGTTTAATGGAGATCAAAGTCCTGCTGGGATGGGGAGGGCCGTCTGCATCAACAGCGATTCTCAACGCAGGAAATGTCACCCCAACTTTCAGGTTCCAGCTGAAACGCACTTGGAAGTGACACAGGTTAAATTGGAAGCTGCTGCACTCGCAAAATCACATCTGAAAACTTCAGGTGTGCAAGTGGAATACGGTATTTCAACACAAAACCAAGCTTGAAAGCATTACGGGATATTGTTTCCTTGCCCTGTTCTGCCTACTGCAAATTTCTAGCTCATACGACAGGTCCAATTGCTTCATTTTCATACAATGAACTCCTATGACTAATGTTCCATAGGTATCAATTCAGTGATGCCACCAGCAAGTTCCTTTATAGTCAGTGTCCCCAATGCAGATCATGTGGGTCCAGGGACAACAATAAAGCTTCCATTGACATCTGAGAAGCCTCTGCACTCACAGGTACACCCCACTTGCCCCCTTTGCCAGGAGTTACTATTTTTCCTCCCTCTCTCTGGCTGTGGGAAAAGGAGCTATCTCTGCCTGGAAAACTACAGACAGTTGTGAGAGGAAGCGAGAGAAGTGCTAATCTTTCCCACTTCCTCTTTCAGCTCCAGTTTTCCAGGGTGAGATCAGAACCTGAGAGGAAAACGCAGCAGGGGACCTGGCCAGGGAGAGAAGGGAAAGAACAGGTCATTACTTACACACAACCGCTTCGATGAACAGCACCAGGAAATAAATGGATAAATCAATTTAAGCTGCAAAAAAGGAGAGAAAGGGGCTGGGGATGGCTCAAAAAGAGCAGGAAAACTGCAAAAATGGCAGCAGCAGCAGCTGAATCTGACCCACAGCCAAGCACTTTGGGGTACCGGTCTATCCCCCCCCCCTGTCATTTAGGCTTCCGGGGTGGCGCCATCGGTAATGGCTGCTTCTCTCTAACTCGGAGGGAACCGGCTCTACGGAATCTGGGTCTTACCGCTACGGCGCAGTGGGGACCCCTTAAAAAAACCCACAGGCGGGTGAAGCCTGTGACCGTGGGACTCAGCGGGCACTGTTTGCGCCCCCCCCAATTGCTAAAGGAGCTCGGCAACGGGCTCCGGAGCGGAGCGGGGGTGGCGTGGTGCTGTGAGCAAATTGCTTCTTCAGTGGAGTGAAGCCGCGAAGCCGTTACCGGAGAGCGCTGCCTTTTTTCCTGGGACAATCGGACTTTGAAAACAACTACCCGTGAGTAGGATTAAATTGGATTTAAAAGAAAAGCGCTTAATTTGGTACTGACCGGGGAAGGTACAACCAGGAAGTCTGCCTTCCTTGCTTTGTAAATAGATCAAAGCAAAGAGACTCTAAAGCGGAAACACAGAAAGTTACCCGAAAAAAGAGCTAAATCCTAACATCTTGAAAGTGGTTCCCCCTCCGGATTGCAGGAGAGGAGGGGGGAAAGTGACTGAGCTGAATTTTCCGGCAAAAAAGAAGGGGAAAAGGAAGATAAAATTTACTGTTTAAGACTTGGAACGGACTGCCTTGAGATAAGGGCTGCATAGTGGAAAGTTTATTTCTGACAGCTAATTCTGCAAAAGGGATACAGTGTTTCTGGACTGCTCCTGTTTTGAAAGTAACTGTTTAAGTGCATTGAGACTGTTCTTTCTAAAGTGAATTTGGGGGACATATAAAAACTATTTCTGTTTTAAAAAGTTGCAAGCTCTGGCTGTTACTGTGTCCCCCTAGAGGAAGCCGGACATTGCTACAATAACAACTGGCTTAGAGGAAAATTCCACTCTATTTCAAAACAACTGTTTAACTGTGGGAGCGACCTTGAATTTCTATGAGACTGTTATGGCAGATGGTAAAGGGAAGATAGAGCCGCAGAAGACAGAGCCGCAGGAAAAAACTACTAGGTCTGGCAGACATTATCGGATAGACACTGTGCAGCCGCGAAGGGGTTCAACATCTGGAGCATCAGGGGCCGCACTCTCACAGGTTAAACCAAAAGTTATGTCGTCGGAAGAAGTTCTGGCACAGGCACTGGCAAAAATTAATGAATCTTTGGAAAGTTTAAATAAACAGGTAGCTGAGACAAACAGACAAGTAGCTGAGACAAATAGACAAGTTGCGGAAGCATCAAGTAAAATTGATTTAAACACTGCAAGTATTAATACCTTGGGGCAGAAGGTGAATGCTAACACAGAGACCATCGAAAAATTACTACAGGAATCTGCCTCGACTCGAAAGATAGCAGAGGAAGCAAAAGATATTGCAACTGCTACTCAAGAGAAAATTCCACCAGTATATAAGAAACTGGAGGACCATGATGTGACATTTTCTATGATTGAACTGAAAGATAGACAAAGAAATTTAAGAATCAGGGCTGTTCCAGAACGGGAGAAAGATAACTTGGCTGACTTCCTTACACAGGAATTTATAGATTTTTGGCAACTGGATTCGGGGAAGGAAGAATTCAAGATAGTGAATGCATTTATACTCGGAAGAAGACAAGGCAAGGACAAGGTGAGAGACTGTTTGATTACCTTTCGAACAAAAGAAGAGAGAGATAAAATTCTGAACCTGCACTATCAAAAAACTTTGGAAATCGACGATTCAAGTGTGGTGATTTTTAAGGATATCCCAGAGCATCTGTTGGACTTAAGGTCTAATTACGGAGATCTAGTGACCTTGTTAAAAAGAAATAGAATTCTTTTCAGGTGGGACTTGCCTCAAGGCCTGTCCTTCAAATATAAAGGAAGAAAGATAAAAATAAAATCAGTTGAGGAAAAAGACAGGTTCTTGAAAGACCACGAGGAAGATCTACTGAAAGAAGTGGAATCTGAAGAAGAGCCAAAAGGTATATTAGACATATCAAATCTATCTTTTGGACTGCACGGCCCAGAAAAAGTGACACTACCCACAGAACAAGAACTGACACTCAGAGCAGTTGGAGGTAAAGTGAAGTAGCCCCATCATGGCTCTGCAACTATTAAGCTGGAATTGTAACGGTTTGAACTCTCCTCGAAAGAGAAAAAGTGTGTTCCATCTATTAAAAAAAGAACAATTGGACTTGATTTGTTTACAAGAAACACATATAACAAGGGTACACAGGAAGTTATTGATTAATAAAAGATTGGGATTAATAAAAGATTATTTCCACATCATCCTCCAGCGATGAGGAAGACTGACTGCCACCATTCATTAAGGTTGCCATATGTCCGGGAAATATTATATTTGAAGTATTACATTTGGAAGCAGTGTCCAGGCAGAAATCGTTGAAATGTCCATGAAAATCCAGACGTATGGCAACCCATATCAGCAGAGAATTTCCTTAAAAATAGCTCAAAAATATCACTTTTGTGTGTCCGGATTTTCACTTTTTGGAACATGGCAATTCGTGCCAGACTGCTGAGTGCTGGTGACTTAAGGGTTTTTTCCAACAGTTTCCAAAAGGGCTTTTATTTCAGCCAGAACTCGGAGGAAATGAGTTCTGGCACCTCTCATGTGGGCCCTACTGTAATTATAAAAGAACAAGGGAGGCGTTCATGGTGAGTTCCGGCACCTCTTTTTGTAGAATAGCAGCACTGGTTTCCAGAAAGCTAAGGGAAGAGGGGCTGCCTTACTCTGTGTCAATGACAGGCAGTTTGGGAAAGACTGCTCTCTACTGCTCTGTTGGATGGCTAGAAGGACGCAGGAGGGATCAGGTGATACAAAGGCACTAATGGGGTTCCATCAGAGGTGCCAATAACCCCTGTCTGAGCAACCCATTTCTTAGAAAGGGTCTCTGCTGCTCTTTGTCATGGCTATCCCCATCTTGCCAACCGACAAATCTTATCACCCAAAAAAAGAACAAAAATTGTTACTAAGAGAAACTTATTTCTGCCAGGCCAAATTTTTTTTGTTTCATTTTGACTCTGAATGCGTTGTTGTCCCATTTCCCCGCCCCCGCAAACTGCTTTGGTGGTGCTTTTTAGAACTGAAAAGACAATATAGAAAAGCTTTATAAATCTAATATACCGTATTTTTCGCTCTATAAGACGCACCAGACCACAAGACACCTAGTTTTTGGAGGAAGAAAACAAGAAAAAAAAAATTCTGAATCTCAGAAGCCAGAACAGCAAGAGGGATTGCTGCGCAGCGAAAGCAGCAATCCCTCTTGCTGTTCTGGCTTCTGAGATAGCTGCGCAGCCTGCATTCGCTCCATAAGACGCACACACATTTCCCCTTACTTTTTAGGAGGGAAAAAGTGAGTCTTATACAGCAAAAAATATGGTAGCCCCTGTAGAACCAGGAAAAATATATTAGAAAAATGGTAAATGCTAACTGTTTCTTATTAAGAATTAAAACTTAACCTGGAGTATCCTGGTTTTGTTAATGATACGTGTAGACACTAAAAAGGAATACAAAAAGGTCACACACAAACACGCTGCCTTCTTCCTCATAATGTCCCCATAACTGGAATCAGGTGGCCCGCTGCCATGTTCTTCTTAAGTTTTCTACAGAACACTGCA